TGAGAAAAAACAGATTCATCCTGGAGAGGGTTAAACTGGGCTGCTCCTTGGAGGCAAAGATTCTGAGGCTTCGTCTGACATACTTTGGTTGTTATAAGGAGAGGGACATCATGCTTGGGAGGGTGAAGGGACGGCACAGGAAGGGAAGACCCCTCTATGAGGTGGATTGATTCAGTGACTGGGGCAATCAGGATGAGTGTGTTGGAGACAGTGAGACTGACACAAGACAGAGCAGAGTTTAGAGCTATTGTACATAGGATTGCTATGAGTCACAAGCAACTCGATGGCACATAACAACAACAGCAACATCCATTCTTCTGAATCCTGGACATGTAGTTCTTATGATGCTGTGAATATTCTTCACTTGTGTTTTGGTAAACACATTATTTCTGTTGGAAACTTAATGTAGGAATGGAATAGCTGGGACATAGGGAAGGTGTGTCTTCACTTTTAGTGCTACTGTCAGTTAACATTTAGTCATTTCAAGCCCATAATGATAATGCTTCAAAGTGTGAAATGCTATCTGCTATCTTCATGATCATTAGTATGTTTTCATCTGTTGCATTTGTGGGTATGTTACGTATATTAAGTCTTGTTTGGTAATCATGCTTTTTTTAATCTTGTAGATTTTTACTAATTCTTTTCATCTTCCCATTCCATTAATAATGAGGAGAATTGTTTTAAAAGCTTCCTCTGTAAGTATGGATACACCTTTTTCTTCTGTATCTCACTTGTTCACCAATCCTTTCCACATTTTTAGTGGAAAATATCACATTTTCTTTGCAACTTGGTGCTCTATTATTTTTATTGTTATGTACCAGTGAGTTCCAATCATTAGTTTCTTCTTAAAACTGTTCCTCCATCTTTGTGTTTTCAAATTTGAGGGCTTAGCCTCAATTGCCATATCTGTTACTCTACTCTGTGTGGGCTCTATTGTACACAGGATTTTCAAAGGGTATTTCAAAAGTGTAGGGCCAGTCCTTCTTTCCTAGTCTGCCTTAATTTGGATGCTAAGCTGTGGAACAATAAATAACAGACAATTTTAGAAAGGAGCAAATGAAAGATACTTCCCCTTACAGAGATAACTGTACATGCAGTGCCCTCCCCCTGAATGTGTGTCCTGTCCTTTCGCTTTTCCTGAATATTAACATCATTTGCACTCCCACATACCCTGTCCAGCATCCTGTTCTGCCCCAGCAACCCTTTTATATGATGGTTTGGGCCACAAGTCACTTGCTTCTTGCAGTTAATTGTTATGCCTCAGAGAGCTGGATAATGACTAGGGATGGTAGAAGAAGAATTGATGCCTTTTGAGTTGTGGTGCTGGAGAACAGTCTTGCACATACCAAGAAAACAAATAAGTCTGCCTTGGAAAGGGTGAAAACAAGTTTCTCCTAGGAGGCTAAGATTTTGAAGTTCAATCTCACATACTTTGGACATGTGGCCAGGAAGGACCAACCCTTGGAAAAGGACATCATGCTCGGAAGGGTGGAGGGACAGCACAGAAGAGGCAGACTTCATGAGATGGATTGATACAGTAACTAGGGCAATGGGGGTAGCTGTATTGGAGTCAGACTGGTTCGGAACAGGGAAGGGTTCAGAGCTATTGTATATAGAGTCACTGTGAGTCGCAGTCAGCTTCTCGGCACATAACAACAACAACAACTGTCAATGAGTACAATCTGCCCCATAGCTGACCCTCCAGTGGGTTTTCAGAGGCAGTAAATCGCAAAGGAAAAAATTACCCATCTTCCTCCCACAGAGCCGCTGGTGGATTTGACCTGTGTTCCTTAGGGTTGGCAGTGCAGGTCCTTTCCACTAGACTACCAATGTTCCCTATAATGTTAATCCATTTGGAATTGCCTCTTACGTATCTAGTTGCATCTTCTTAGCCTTTCGTTCTAAATAATTAAATGTTGGAATTTCTCAAGGCTTCAATTTAGTCTCCTTCTTACTGTATGCATTGGACTCAACCTTGATCTTCCTCCATAGATAAAGAGAGAATATAAACTAAGTGAAGCAAAAAAGATTGGGTCTTGTAAATGGGTCAATACATGTTAAGTGTGGGTAAGTCACTTCCAACTTTTGATGAACATTATTACACATTACAAAACACAGACTGGTCCTGCACTGTCCTCAGTCCAAGCTGCACTTGAGCCTTGTTGCGGCCACTGTGTCGGTCTATCACACGGAAGATCTTCCTCCTTTTTGCTGACCTTCTACTTTACTAAACATAATGTCCCCCTCGAGGCACTCTGCCCTCCTGGGAACATGGACCATGCCATCCTTTCCTCCAAGGATAATCCTGGCTGAACTTCTTCCAAGAGAGATTTGTTTATTCTTTAGGCAATCCATGATATATTCAGTATTGTTTGCAAGTACCACAATTCAAAGGCATCAGTTGTTCTTCAGTCTTTCTTATTTGTCTATCTTTCATATGCATATGAAGCTATGGAAAATACCATGGCATTGTGTACTTTAGTCCTCAAAGGATCATCCTTGTTTTTTAGTAGTCATTGAAAGTAGTCCTTTGAGAAGATTGACACTTTAAAATGTTACCTTATTTCTTGATCTCTACTTTCATTGGTCGTAGATCCAAGGAAAATTAAATCCTTGACAACTTCAATTTTTCCTTATCATGATGTTGATTATTGATCCATTTGTGAAGATTTTTGTTTTCTTTATGTTGAAGTGTAGCTCATACTGAATACTAGTCTTTGGACTTTTTCATAAAGCTCTTTGTGTCTGTTTCATTTGCAGCAAGGAAAATTGTGTCATCTGCATTTCACAGTTTGCTAATAAATCCTCCAGTATTGGTGCCGTGTTCTTCATAGTCCAGGTTTTCACGGTTTTTTTGTCAGCATGTTGTTGTTGTTGTTATAGCGACCTTATGTACAACAGCCCTAAACCCTGCTCTATCCTGTGCCAATCTCATTGCCTCTGACACACCCATCCTGATTACCCCAGTCACTGAATCAGTCCACCTCATGGAGGGTCTTCCCCTCCTGCTCTGTCCCTCCACTCTGCCCAGCATGATGTCCCTCTCTAAAGACCTGTCTCTTCTTGCAACATG